CCCGGTCCATCACCCCTCCCGCTCCCTCACTCCCTCTTTCATCACCCCTCCCGCTTCCCCCCTCCCCTTCCATCACCCCTCCCGCTCCCTCCCCTTCCATCACCCCCCCCTCCCCTTCCATCACCCCTCCCGCTCCCTCACCCCTCCTTTCATCACCCCTCCCGCTTCCCTCCCCTCCCCTTAAATCACCCTTCCCGCTCCCTCCCCTTAAATCACCCCTCCCGCTTCCTCCCCTCCCCTTAAATCACCTCCCCGCTTCCTCCCCCCCCTTCATCACCCCCCTCCCCCTTCCTCCCCACCCCTTCCATCACCCTTCCCGCTTCCTCCCCTCCCCTTCCATCACCCCTCCCCCTTCCTCCCACCCCTTCCATCACCCTTCCCGCTTCCTCCCCTCCCCTTCCATCACTCCTCCCTCCCCTCCCCTTCCATCCCCCGTCCCACCCCTCCCTGGGCGTCTCCAATACCACCTATGTTTAGAAATGAGCAGTTTCTTTCTCAGGTTTTCCCCGACTGCCTTTGAGGCGCCGGGTCTGTGAGTCCCGTCATCTCGTTTCTTTTACTTGATTACCAGAGGATGTCCAAAGTTGTGTGCGTGTATGTGTGTTAGGTGTGTGTGTGTGTGTGTGTGTGTGTGTGTGTGTGTGTGTGTGTGTGTGTGTGTGTGTGTGTGTGTGTGTGTGTGTGTGTGTGTGTGTGTGTGTGCTTGCGTGCTTGCACACACGAACGTACTCTGTAGTATTTGCCTAGCTATTGTTGCTGGGTTTGAGGCAGTGATCCTAGCCACTCACGAACAGCCACATACACGCTATTCCTAGCCTCGTGAAATTCTTAACTGTGTATAAAATTTGCTTCCGGCATTTGCTCGTCCAGGAAGGTTCCTCGTCAGGCACTCTTTGAAGTACCTGTGGAAACAGTGCTTTATGAAGCACTTGTGGTTCATATGCGAATTTAGCGTTTGTCACCGTTATGCTTTCAAATTGTCTGTCCTGTCAAGACATTTGTGTTCCGTCAGAACATTGAATACTTTGTGTTCCGTAAGATATTTGAATATTTTGTGTTGCGTGATCATGTTCCTCATTGTTCTTCTCTCTTCTAGTGTTGTAAGATTTAGTTCCTTCAGTTTTTCTCTGTAGGTCGTTCCTCTTAACTCCATCATTTATTTCGTATGGAATCTCTGGACATTCTCTAGTTTCTCCAGATGTTTGTTTTTTCTTGCCAGAGGGTTCAGTGCTGGTGCTGCGTTCTCTAAGACAAGTCTGGCATTCTTTATATACATTATCCTGTCACGCTTCACTGAGGTACCTGAAAGCAGTATTTTAAATTCGCCAGACGGGCATACTAGTACATGAGAAAAGGGTAAAATCGTACACGTTATCATAAGAACCAAAATTTGTGATTGGGCAGTTAGTTATGCGTTCTTAACCATTTTAGTTATGGAATCATCCGGAAATCGACCTGTAACGTCGTTGACGGTCATTAATTGTCGGTCATTACACAAAATCCTGGGATTTGTCAAATCTTTGTCAGATATTGACATATCTTGACAAATCTGCTTTGTTTTCCCGTATTTTGAAAAGCACAGTATCTAATACAAATAAAACCAGTTGCCTATAGGTTTCCTTTATGTGATAATAGAGTAGTTACAGTTCAAGATGATAAAATCATATTCGTTAGCAATCAATATATATTTTTTATAAGGACTTCTATTAAAATTTCTTCACGATTACCTATCCACCTATACTTCATTCTTAATTCCTTCTCTCTTTTATTGCAGTTGCGAACGCTTTCGGTATAGTAGAGGTGGTGGTGGACATAACAAGCATTCATAATGGCTAAAAATTTTGAATTGAAAAATCCTAAATGCGACACTAGTGAACATAACCTAGTGACAGACTGAGCTTTGTGTTTTGTATCAGGAAACCTCAGAATGCCTGCAACGTCCAGAGGGCAGAAAGAGCGAAGATTAATATAATTATGTGAATTAAATTTGGCATTGCCCTTAAATACATACTGGATGATGAGAAATGGTATACAAAGTAAAATGTCGAAAGCCACGTGTCATCAGATTCAACTCTAATAAGTTTAAAAGGGCAGAAAAAAAAAATACTGTCCTTGATTATCCTGCTGAGCTTTCAATGTCCAAGAATTTACAAGGCGGAGTGATCAGTCTGTACACAATAATGACTCGATATCAAAGAACATACGGTTCTTCTGCGAGTCAAAGTTTACAAACCCTTCACATGTTGCTTCTGCAACTGGTCTAGATAAGCGGTTGAGAAAATGTGCCCTAGAATTACACGATGAGAAGTTACTCGCAAGGCTGAGTGTTTGAGAAATGGTGGCCATTGATGTTACTTATCATGCATGACACTGAACTGTACAAGGCTGTGGAGTGATACTGGTAGTGATGGTTGGTGGTAAGTTAACGGATTTAACCGACAAACTGGATCAATACATCGAGGTACCTTTGAAGAGTTTCAAGAGTTTAACTACATTCGGAGCCCGGCCATGGGCCAGGCAAAGTAATGGATCAGTGGCAAACAACAACAATAATAATAATAATAATAATAATAATAATAATAATAATAATAATAATAATAATATAATATAATTATTAATTATTATTATTATTATTATTATTATTATTATTATTATTATTATTATTATTATTATTATTATTAATTTTAAATTCTTGAGGCGCCGAAAAATGCATATGGTTGATACATCGCTTGGGGAAAGGGATGTAATCAGTTTAGATCCTTGACAGGGATAAGTAACTCCAGAGGCTTAGATCACGAAGACAATGACGTAAGCAGATATAGGATAATCTCTTCTTCCCTTTAGGCGATATTTAAAATGAATTATTTTTCACCAAGTATTGTTTCTAGGTTCTGGATGTTGATACCTACATTGGTTCATTTGTATAAATAATAATAATAATAATAATAATAATACGATTATTATTATTTTTTTCGTTTGTAAATAATTCATTACAAAGCTTAATGGAAGCTATGAAGCTGCTACCATTATTTACTCTTAATGACGGTAATATCAGCTCTTTAATATTATGCATCATTAAAATAATCTATAATCTGATTTTTGGGTACATTTTATGTTATATTGATTGCAAGATTAATAATTGTCCAGTAGGGCTGTTGTTTTGCAATCAATATAACATACACATCAATATAATATACACGGTACACATTCTTTTCATTAAGTTTATATTCTCATCTCTCACTCCAGTAAATGGTTATAGTACAGATTTGGGACGTGGCTTTCCAGGATCTTCCAGGTGTACACTATATAAGGTGTGTCTCTCTCTTCTCCGCTCCATGGAACATATTCCTTGTATTCCGAGGCTTTCCCAGTCCTTTAAATACTGAAATATATATCTCTGATATCTCTCCTGCCTTGACCGGAGTTTTGATTTGTATAGAACCTCCAGTGGTGTTATTTCTTTTCTTTGGGAAATTCTTTTTATCCATTCTTTCACCTCTTCCATTCGCTATATTTTCTTGAAATGACGTATCTTCTGATATTATTATTCCTAAGTCTTTTATCAGTATTTATGAGGTCACCCTGCTTTACTATGTACTCATCTGAGTTCTACATTCTTTCCCTATCTACATAAATGACATTTGTAACCATTAAAAGCACTCTTATTTTCATCTGCCCTTTGGAAGACTTCCGCTAAGGATGATGCGAATATCTGGCTAATGGTTGTATCTATGTCTACTGGGAAGATGAAACAGTAGAGTTGAAAGAACGTGCGTTTGCGGGACACGAGCTTAAATTTATTTAATTGTGCTTAAAATCAATGATATACATTGTTTTCGCAGCTTTATAGCGTAAACAAGTTTTTACTCTGCTTGTTCGGCAGAAAACACCCTTGCTTTTTTTCCTAACTCGCCGGTTTGGCATATTCGGCCGTCATAACGTGAATGGTATTTTCTTTATTAATGCTTAATAAACTAATGCTTATTAACGGATTTTTTTACGTCATATGAATTAAGACTTTATATTTTTTTTTTGCATTATCATTGTACTCACCTATATGTGGTTGCACGGGTCGAGTCACAGCTCCTGGCCCAGCCTCTTCGCTAGTCGCTACTAGATCATTGTCTCTGTTCCATACCTCTTCTTAAAGCTATGTATGGATCTTACCTCCACTACTTCACTCTCCAGATTTTTACACTTCCTGGCGATTCTAAGACTAAAGAAATACTTCCTGACGTCCCAGTGGCTCATTTGAGTGTGTGTGCGTGCGTGTGTGTGTGTGTGTGTGTACTCACCTAGTTGTACTCACCTAGTTGAGGTTGCGGGGGTCGAGTCCGAGCTCCTGGCCCCGCCTCTTCACTGATCGCTACTAGGTCACTCTCCCTGAGCCGTGAGCTTTATCATACCTCTGCTTAAAGCTATGTATGGATCCTGCCTCCACTACATCGCTTCCCAAACTATTCCACTTACTGACTACTCTGTGGCTGAAGAAATACTTCCTAACATCCCTGTGATTCATCTGTGTCTTTAGCTTCCAACTGTGTCCCCTTGTTACTGTGTCCAATCTCTGGAACATCCTGTCTTTGTCCACCTTGTCAATTCCTCTCAGTATTTTGTATGTTGTTATCATGTCCCCCCTATCTCTCCTGTCCTCCAGTGTCGTCAGGTTGATTTCCCTTAACCTCTCCTCGTAGGACATACCTCTTAGCTCTGGGACTAGTCTTGTTGCAAACCTTTGCACTGTCTCTAGTTTCTTTACGTGCTTGGCTAGGTGTGGGTTCCAAACTGGTGCCGCATACTCCAATATGGGCCTAACGTATACGGTGTACAGGGTCCTGAACGATTCCTTATTAAGATGTCGGAATGCTGTTCTGAGGTTTGCTAGGCGCCCATATGCTGTGTGTGTGTGTGTGTGTGTGTGTGTGTGTGTGTGTATGTGTGTGTGTGTGTTTTATCACATTTGTTATCTTCTGGACATTAACCGTGTTTTCGTTCCGCAGGTGAAAAGCCGTACCGGTGTTCGTGGGAAGGCTGTGAGTGGCGGTTCGCTCGCTCCGACGAACTCACCCGTCACTTCCGGAAACACACGGGAGCCAAGCCGTTCAAGTGTCACCACTGCGGCCGCTGCTTCTCCCGCTCCGACCACCTGGCTCTCCACATGAAGAGGCACCAGTGAGGTCGGCCTCAGTCATCTTCTTCAGCTGTCTCAGATGACCCAGCACAACAGGACCAGCACAAGAGCACCCTAGCTTGACTTCTGTTGATGTCACTTCCCCTGCCGTGTTCCTGCTTTCCGTGGCTGGACCTCGCCCCTAACTCTCACACACATGCCCCTCTCTTCCCATTTCCTCGCCCACTCGTGTAATTGACACCAGCAGTGACCCAAACGTGACCTTTGACCCCCAGAGTGGCCCTAGATGGGAGTTAGGGAGGCTAGCAAGGTGTAGGCAAGCACGGCACTCTGGACTTAACACAATGCTAGCATGAGAAAATGATTTCCCTGAACAATCCAGATTTTAGTATGTACAGAGTTATCCCTGCAGAAGAGAAATTAAAAATTATGCTGTAAGTGGACAAGACAAAAACTACAAGCAGATTTATGGTAATATATCGTGTGTCGAAACGTTGCGAGAAACTGAGAGAGGGAAAATGGAGAGTGTACAGATTATTTCTGATTCATAAACAAAAAAAAGGGCTTAGTGTGTCCCCAGAAACTTGTGTTATTTTGTGTACAGTGTAGATTGTAAGGTTGAAACCACCAGAGGTGTGGTATTTTAGTGTAGCCAACAAATAAGATAAACGTTTACGTATGTGAGTGGTTGCCTTCAAACCAGTGATCATTTTCTTTGTATACATAGATTTTTATTCATTCTGTGAAGTCACTAAGAGCTCCATGGCTGCAAAGCAAAAAAAAAAAAAAAAATATTTAAAAAAAAAAGAACAAAAGGAAAAAAGAAAATGATCTATTTGTTGTCTTCTTCTCTTTTTATATTTGAATTTCAGACAGAAAGTAACCACAATTTTAAGTTAAATGAAAAAAAAATGCTAGATTTTATCTCGAAATGTACAAAACGTCTTCATGTATCGCTAAGGATACATACCGTGTATTGTTGTAATACTGATGTCTAGCGCTGTACATAAACCATTAATATAAGGATTCTGTACCACTGCCATGCTACATGAGGCACGGATTAGATCAAGTGTGTGATGGTGGTTACTCCTCAGTGTCTGAGTCTACCACCTGTCACATCAAAACTAAGCAGAAACAGCCGATATTAACCTCTTAATGGAAACAACAACCTCAGAAAAGAAAAAATGGCCTTGTGGGTGAGGACATGTGTGGATTTTGGTATATTCCGGCGTTATCTGAAGCTTAATGCTTGATTTACTTGCTGTATTTTAAGCTTTGAAAGGAACAAAAGCCTCTCTGTAAGCTTGGCAGCCAAGGAGCTTTAAGCAGATACTCGCTATGATAGATCCTCCACGCAGTCAATCCCAGCTCCCTGGGTCTCAGATCAGCTCGAGGACTCCAGCATCAGAGGTGACATACTAATTATGACTTCACGTGTCTCGTCTACTACATCTCTTTACACATGTGGCGCCGGCTTTGACTCCTTCACACACAAGATGGTCTTTCTAGCTATCACTGAAATAAACCTGAAGAACTCGCTGGTTAAACCTTTTCCTTCCGCCATGATTTATTCATATATGATTTCCTACACGTCAGAACTAGAGAATACTTGAAGAAAGAACTAATTTTATATAAGATTACACTATTCCCATTTCATAGTGGATTTCCACTGATAAACTTGAGGTACAGATGCAAATATAACCACAAAAATAACATTTTCGTTAGGTGTCTTGTGGTATCTCGAGTATTTGTACAAGTGAGTATTATCTTCTAGGTTCACGCAAGGATGTGTCAACAATGGCTGATCATTGCAGCTAGGTTCTCAAACGTTGCTAGACACAACGAATAAAAGAAAAAAGTGATGTGCATTCCTCATGTTGAAATCGCGAGAGATTAATCATTGAGACGATTATAATAGAGAACTTAGCGAAACTGATTAAAGGAGAGAACGTGTAGTGGAAGAAACTCTTTGTGTTATCCATGCGTAGATCCGAAACAGGAATCACGAATTAAATCAGCTCAAGGCCGTTGTATATTTACACTAAATATCTAAGGTCAGCCGAGCACAGGTATCAAGGAGTTAAACTGAAAATCCTGAGTCACTGTACGTAGGATTCAGCAGCAAAGGTGAAACATTGTAAGGCCACAAAACAACACTAGACCCGTCACAAACCACGGCAAAGGAGTATCAAGTTACTACAAACCAAAGTGATCCAAACGTGAGGAAGCCGGCGCTCAATCTGCAACTCTCAGAATACCATTCCATTCCCGTGCCCTGCCCAAAGTGTCCTTTTTGTATTGCAAAATATTTTTTTCTTTGAGTCTCAAGCTCATTTATTCAGTCAAATGGTTGCTAGTGACAACAATATTATAGTAACTCGTAATTTATATATTTATTTGTTATTTAGCAGTTCCTGGAAAGTAGTAATGACGTACAAGAAAAATTTCTGAAGTGAATTTAGAGTGAATATGAGAAGAAAGATCAATTATATATCATTAATCATAATATATTATATATATATATATATATATATATATATATATATATATATATATATATATATATATATATATATATATATATATATATATATATATAATATTTATATATGAACAGTAATTATTCAGACATTTTTACGCAATTATTTTTGTATTTTTTTTAATTTCGTATACTTTAGATCAAAATAAAACAACTCGAGTATCCTGTAAAAATAAAATATGGGATAGATAAAGGACACAAGGCTGCAACCCTCACTGAAAGTTCCCCAAGTTCTATAATGGTGCTAAAGTTCTCTTATACCTCAAAACCTCCGCGCGTTCACAACCGGTGTCTATGACAAAACTGTCAACGTGATTCTAGTAACAAAAAATAATAACTTATATTTATAATGATGATGACAAAGAATAAAACCTAACGGCCTCAATGCACTTCGAGAAAGAGAGAGTTTTTCCTGAAACAGAATACAATATCCGAACGTTTTCCTACGTTCGGCACAACCATGCTGAAGTTGAGCCATATAGGTTCAACAGTGGAGATTCGTACACGTAATCATATCTGCCTGAGTGGTCGGTAAATGTCTATATTAAGAACCGAATCGTGCCAACGAGAGTGTAGACAAGATGATGATTTGACCGGCTTAGTGAGTGATGCTGATGGGTGATACACATTAATCATCTAAACACCCTGACGATAACTTACATCACTCATCATCTTGAAAGACCAAGAGCCACTGAAAGGATAAATTGCACACACAATATATATATATACATATATATATATATATATATATATATATATATATATATATATATATATATATATATATATATATATATATATATATATATATATAATTTTTACTGTGATGAGTGTGTGTGTTAAGATAGAGCGCTCATTGTATCTTCATACAGTGATAATTACAAGTGAATAAGATATGAAAATAATACAATAGTATAAAAACATAATATTCAATTCTGGACACTTAGGTCAAACCAATGAAGAAGTCAACGTGTTGAAAGATAGACTGGGATATATATGTATAATTGTTGTTCGGTTCTCCACATGAAGATACATTTTAGAAGAGGTAAGTATGAGAGGGTTAAAGTTATATTACAACTGGTAAAAGGACTTGTGAAAGCACGTATAAATTTTTTTAGGACCTAAACAAAGAAAGGGCAAAGTTCCATCACTTACCAACACATCACTTGCCATTCTGTTTATAGGGGGCGGCGCTCCAGGTCTGCAGTCTCTTCACACACGACCAGAATCTTGACTCTCCTTTTTAATCATCCTATTGTAGCGGTCTTCGCACTTTTTAAAAACATTGGAATCCTTAGGGTAACTAAATTGTTTCATTTAGAGTGTATTAGACACTGACAATGGCTCTAAACAGGCTGAGATTCTGAATTGTCTGGTGTCTGAATAAACTACTGCTAAGGAACGCATCCTCTGTCTTAGGATTAAAAGTTATTTGCGCTGTGACGTAAGGTAATCTCTGGGGCTCGGAGCAATAAAGTGTCATCTCACAGTCGCGAGTTTAATGTAAAATAGAGCAAAATACGAGAAGATACTTCACTGCTTAACCGCTGCAAAACGAGACCTTAAATAACCCGAATGAATGTGGGTTGCCATTTTCTTCCCCCGAGGTCCCAGTCTTAGTTGATAGGTATGTAGCATTTTATTGAATGTAAAAGATTAACCCCACGTCTTCAGGGGTAGCTTAAGCTTTAACAAAACACCATCTAGCATATACAAGTTCTATCCTCTCACTGTCATAGTAACTATGTAGATCACCGTAGAGCAGTTGTAACGAGCAGTCTCGCCTCGACACTTTACCCTACGTAGAATTTTGGTACAAATTTGGAACAAAGTGATAATTGGTTTTAGATGTATGTTTCTAAATTGTACCAATCATAAACCTCATTTTATTTGCTACTATTTCTGTTTTATTATCTAGATTGTTATATCTTATGTTACTGACGTATTATTTTCACCTGTTACATTTCCTTATTATTTAATATATATATATATATATATATATATATATATATATATATATATATATATATATATATATATATATATATATATATATATATATATATATATATATATATATTATATATATTATTATATATATATATATATATATATATATATATATATATATATATTATATATACTCTATACATATATACTCTATACATATATGCTAATGAAGTATTTATTAGTGTCGAGGTAAGGCTGTTGTAGTGAACGGAGTCATACTGTCAAGAGATAGTAGGAACTTTCAGTAATATCATAAGACAGACTATATGTGAAATCTTCCCCTTAACTGTGAAAACACATTAATGTACACATTTAAAAGATTAAACAGTAAAATGAGGCTACAATTCACCAAATATCATTAAATTCTAGATATCTATATGCTATTAGACTTCCCATTAGAGACCCCTCTCACAGCCTGTTACTGATGTAAGCGAACGACAATTTGCTCAATTCGTAGACGAGACTTGTACGTGCTACTTGTACGTGCTACGTGGACGTGCTACTTGTACGTGCTACTTGCACGTGCCACTGTAGATGGAGGGGTGAGGGGGGGAAGGAACACCCACTTTTGTCCCTACCCTTTTCCCTTGCATGGTCACGTAGGGGGTAATCAGCGTTCCCTCTCCCCCCTCCCCCTTCAGTATTTGGGCATGCAGAAAATAGTCTGTGGTCCTCTATGCCCCACCATCCCCCTAATCTCCCACACCAAGGGAAAGGCTTGACTCTCCCCATCTCTCACCAATCGGAGGAGTGTGCAACCCTTGTTCCCCTCAGTCCCATGTCCTCTCTCTGAGAGACAAGCACTACAACACATCTCTCCCATACCTACTCTATCCTCCCAAATTTCCTGGATGTGGAGGGGGAGGTTCACTGGCCCTTGCATCCTCTACTTTCTTACCCCCACCCCCCTTCCCCTCTTTCCCTTTAATCTACACTTGAGTACAGAAGGGAACCCCTCACCCCTCTATCCTCCAACCTGCACATCTCTTACTCCTGATACTTTCGTGTTGTGCATCCCAGCTTCTGTGACGCGAAGTTTTATATTTTTTAAAAGAAGGCCCTCACGGAATGGAATATAATGTGTGTGTATTGCATTCACAAGCAAATATATTCATGCATATATACACCTATTGAAATATACATACATATATACACTTTTGCAAATATACATTAATACATACACACATATGTCGTACCTAATAATCCACATCGGTCATCTAAGTCGCGCTGCTATAATTTTTCGAAAATTTTCTCTTGTGCATTGAGATATATGTATTTTTATGAATAAATTTGTTATGAATATTTTTAAATTTGCCCTAAATTTACCTGGCACTCTAACCCTGACCCTCTTAAAATTAACGTAAATGTAAATTCTCTCCATGATAAGGTCAGTCTAAAAGTAACTTAGTGATGTCAGTCAAAAAAATGACGCAAGGGTGTAAGCACTGAAGCGCTTTTCAGCGCTCATTTATTTCATGGAAAACGTAATGTCTGTGATGATCTCTTGATTTAAGGAAATTGGAGCTACTCTTTCCTTCCTTAGAGCTAAATTGATTTTCTTCCATCCTAACATGCTGCATGACTCCTACGATTTCCCGTGATTATAATAATCATAATAATAATAATAATAATACAAAGGCACAATACTGTGACTGGAACAATATTTGTGTAATAATATAATAATAATAATAATAATAATTTCTGCCATTCCACTATGTTTCCATGTGAGTTTTAGCGTTATTTCTTTCGATTTTTTTTAATTATTATTAGTGATCACTGCATTTACACCAACATCAATGTAATGCATATTTTTCAGATGTTGAAAGCGATTTTTATTTGCGCAATTACTGCAACAATGAACCGTCAGTCTGTTGATTTTTAAAAGGATTCTAGACGAATTAGAAAAGGCGATAATTTTTGGCTATAAACCATGATATATATATAGCACATTAGCCGTTTCCCACCAAGGCAGAGTGACCCTAAGAAGGA